TGCATAAAGTTTCCAAGGAGCAGCTAGTGGGTTTGAACTGCTGACTTTGTGGTTCACAGTCCAGTGCTGACCCTGCAGCACCACAACAGAAGTCCAAACATATTAGTCTTATATTTAAAAAATATATAGCAAAATGGAACTAAAAAAAAATAACAGATGAGTAGACTTTAAAACAGATGGTTCATGTGTGAATGATTGTCATTGATATTGATTGATTTTTCCCTTCAAATTATTTAAAGTCTAGTTTGAAAGTCAACAACAATAATAATAAAAAAAAGCATCATGAGTGATATTTAGGATAGGGGATCAGATGGAGTTTTAAAATTCTCTTACAGTAAGAATATATTAATGCATTCTATGTGGAATAAAATTTTTAAATGAAGTGGAAAGAGAAGAGTTTAGGAGAGCTGATAGGATCCATGTCACTGCTGTTTCTTTTTGAAATTGTGACGGAGATCACACAAGTAGATGAAATTTTCACAAACATGTACAATTAACGAGTAATGCTGTTCAACCCACTACCTAGTGTTCCTGGAGATAGTGGTGGCAGAGGTGTGTGTGTGTGTGTGTGTGTGTGTAGGTGGGTTGGGGGGACACAGTTTCAGGGTTACAGTATTGCATGAAGCCCTACTTTGTTAGCATAAAACTCTGTCTCACCTGACTGTTCTTGTTTTTTGTTATTATTGTGAATTGAGTAATTAGTTTACATGGGAGAACGTCAGTTTTACACTCATCGTTTCATTGCACTGATTACAGCCCCCTCCATGCATCAACATTCAACAATATTTGCTTCTATTCCCTTTGTGTTTCTTGGGGGGTGGTGGGGGATGTACACAGAAACACTCAGGTGTATATAATCATTTAAACAACCAAAAGGCACATTCTGCAAGCCTGCCTCATGGCCGCCAGCACACAGCCTTTCTCGTTCCATGAGTTACCTATTCTTAATCAGCAGAAAGCAAGAGCCTTTTCTTGTAGTCTTAGAGGACAGAGGGGAGATTAGCACTCCCAGTAACAATTTCCCTCAGCTCTATCCATTTTGTCACATGTATGGAGACTTCATTTCTCCTGGTGGCTGAGTTGTCTCACATTGTATGTACTTACGACGCTGTTAATCCACTCATCTGTTGACAGGTTTTAGATTATGTCCTACCACTCGACTACTGTGAACAGTCTCTGCTTTCAAATGTAGGAAAGCGTTCCTGGGTCATATGGTAGCTCTATTTTTCGTGTTTTGAAGAACCATCACATTATTTTCCACAGGGCTGTACCATTTTACAATCCCATCAACAATGGATCTAATCCTCACTCATGTATTTTTAAATTTTTTTTATTTTAGGCATCCTAGTGGCAAAAAAATAGCACTTCACTGTGGTTTTGATCTGCATCTCTCTGATGGCAAACGATTTCCATAAGTTTGGTGGTCGTAGGAACAGCCTCTGGTGAAAGTTCTACTTAAATCCTCTGCCCATTTTATGATTGGATTTTTTGTTAGAATTTAAAAATCTTATATATTCATATTTTAACTATTAGATTCTCACCAGATTGTTGTTGTTGTTAAGTGCCGTCGAGTCGGTTCCGACCCATAGCGACCCTGTACAGGGTTTCCGAGGGTGTAAATCCTTACGGGAGTAGAAAGCCTCATCTTTCTCCCGCGGAGCAGCTGGTAGTTTTGAACCGCTGACCTTAAGGTTCGCAGCCCGATTCGTCACCACTACGCTACCAGAGCTCCTTAGATTCTCACCAGATATATGCTTTCAAAAGATACTCTTCTAGTTTTTAGGCTGTCTTTTCATTTATTTTGGTACATTTAAAACATTTTTTATGATGTTCTATCTGACTTTGGGAGTCCTGGTGTGGCACTGTGGATGAATGTGCTAGACTGCAAAGTTGGTTTGAACTGCAAGGTTAGTGGTTCAAGCTCACCAGTCACTCCTGGGAAACCCTATATAGGGTTGCTATGGGTTCAAATTGACTCAATGGCACAAAACAACAACTTATCTTTTGCTATTCATGCTTTTCTATTACATAATCCTCTGTTAAAAGCTAGGACTGACAATGTTGCTCGTACACTTTCTTCTAATAATTTTATGGTTTTAATTTGCACGTTAAATCCTTAATCCATTAAAATTTTTTTTGATGTATTGTGTGAGGCATGGATCCTGTTTAATTTTTCTGCTGTGGAAATCCAATTTCCCTAGCACCATTTACAAAAAGGCTCTTCTTTCCCCATAGAATTGACTTAACACCCTTGTGAAAATCAGTGGACCAACATGAAATTGTCTAAGCAATGAAAACAACTGAACTAAAAAAAGAAATAAAGTAAAATCACATGGATGTAGCCATACTTTCCAGTGCCAGGTTTCTAATAAGCAGCTCACCAGATTTTTCTTCTGAGGTACCTCTGGAGTATTCACACCCGTTTTGGTTAGCAGCACCCAAGAACTTCAACTTTATTAGGGTGAAAAAAGTCAGTTCCAAGGACCACAGCTGTGCACACCAGGCTTAGGGAACCCTTGTCACGAGAAGCATATGGGAAGGAACAAGTAATAACTCTAAGAAAACCCAATTTCACTATACTATTCTCTTCCCCTCTGGGAGCTCTGGTAGCATATGGAGCTCTGGTAGCATAGCAGTTATGAACCGGGCTGCTAACCTCAAGATCAGCACTTCAAAACTACCAGCCATTTCGTGGGAGAAAGTTGAGGCTTTTTGCTCCTATAAAGATTTATAGCCTCAGAAACCCTGTGCAGGGTCACTATGAGTCGGAACCGACTCCATGGGACTTAACAACAACATCATCATGCTCCGTGTTGGCACTGGAGGATAAGCACTGGACTGTTAACAGCAAAGTCAGTGGTTCAAACCCACCAGCTGCTCCTTGGAAACCTGTATGGAGTAACTACGCGTCAGGACTGGCTGCTCCTTAAGAACAACCATCACAGTCCGCACAGCGGGTATGTAAGCCCATCCCGTTAGCCAGTGTTGCAGGAAACAGCAGCTGGCACTTCTGAGATAACGCAATAATGAAGAGCCTATAGCAATGTACGGCACCACCCCAGGCCCTGGAATCTGAAAGGTGGGTCATGTGGTGTTGGCCACCTTGAAAAAGGTAATGAATCTTGGTTGAGGGACAGTTGACAAACCTCGTAGGGAGAGACGGCAGAATAAATGCCCTGACCTCACATTCCTTCCTCTCTGCATCTGTATCTGCTGCTGGAGATACAGGTTTCCCCGTTGGGAAAACCCAAGATCGCCCAAACAACATGGGAAGCCAGCTGATGTCCATGTAGATTTGTCTGGCAGAAGAGCAGAGTGAAGAGGCAGAGATTTGGCAGAGCAAATGGAAGAGAACTGGCATACACATATAGACACTGGTTAACAACAATCAAAATGTACAAAAGTATATGCGAGGCTATGTGAAGTAGACCCTAACTATAACAGGCAGTCAGTATGTCTCAAGTTAGTAACTCAAGAAATCACAGATTATGTATCTATCATTCACCAACATGGAGACAAATGTCAAGACCAACAGCTGGTTATTGTTGCAACATCTATAATGCAGCCGTTTGTGTATTTAATAAAAACAAATTTTAAGAATAATGCTAAAAGGCTACATAAAACACTAATAACGGCAAACTGTGGAGTTGCAGTAAGAGAAAGAACATTAACGTTTCATCTAATGTTTGTACTGTTTTACTATGAACATCTAATTTTTACAATAGTTCTTAATCTTAATATAACAAACTAATCGACTACATTTCTTTCCTAGTGGGAATCTATCTTATCCTAAAAGTTGAGAGCTGTTTTAATTACATAACGTCCACAGTGGGTAAGTGACTTGAGTAGACACAGCTTCTAAAGCCTTGGGAGCCAGGACTTGTGACCTCCTAGCCAGTGCCCTTTCAAGGGTTGCAGATCCCTTGGTTCTTATCATGTTGCCCTTCACTGGGAACCTAAGGGCTGACATTCCTTCTAACTTCTGCCTGCTTCCAGGGAAGTAAATAAACATGAAACAAAGATACGTCTGCTAGTCATCTTTGAGTATTTAGATCTCTAAGTGAAGAGCCCAGGATGGAAGACCAAGCAGAGAGGCCCCGGCTGTATGAGGGAGCCCACACAGCACAGAGGTGCCCCGCCAACCCAGAGTAGGAGGAGTCTCTTGTTGAAAACTTGGAGTGTCTTGTTATGTAACAAAAAGAAATGGGTATAATTTACTCTTCAAAGAAAAAAATAAAATATTGCTGTCAACCCCTCCAAGTACCCTCACACTATAATCCTATGTGATGAAAAATTTCCTTTTTAAGTATTTAAAGAGATTTTCAATGAAAAAAGAACCACGAGGTAAACAGAGTGTATTGAATACATTTATGGAAGTAGAAGGAATGCAAGGATTCGAATTTTATAATATACATCAGGCAATTATGCAAAAGATGTTTCATTTTTCAAAGACATTTCCCCTATTTGACTATCATTTCTATCACCAGAGCAAGACATTGTAATTAGTACTCTCATTGGTAAGCTGCTCCATTGTGCTGGGCAGTAATTATCCCTTTGTGTTTCAAGTCATTATCGGCTCCAAAACTGCTGCTCTTCCATTAGCCGGCACAACTTCAAGTAAAGCTCCATCCAGATGAGAAGATAAGAAGAGCCCAAAGAAGTGAGAGCCCCCAACAGTCAGACACATTTGAATGAAAGCCAGTGGCCTGAGGGACTGAGTCTACCAGCACAGCCTTCTATTTATTCCTATTATTAAAACTGCAACAATAAAAAAGAAAGGTAATTCAGTGAAAAAAGGAACTCAGGCATGAGGTCATTAAGTGTAAGTAACTAACTAAGTTTCAAATATAAATACTATGCAGGTCCTGATTCATTTAGATCAGGTAAATAGCTAAACGATCCTGGATTCTGGTTTCAGAGAAAAAGGTCAGAAACAATAACGGTGCTTCAGATTATCGGGTCCATTTTTAAAACAATGAGATCCTCTGGGAAAGATCGCTTTACTCTTTCTTTTTATCCAAAATTGCTGTTGGTCCTTGTGTTGGTAATCCATTTATGTCTGTACCCTAAAGTGAAAAAATATATAAGAAAGAATTACAATAGTAAAACACTCATCAGGATACATTCTCTTTTAAAACTTCAGAATAAAACAGCTGAGCTTCCAGACAGGCACTTTGGCTGTTGTTGGTCACCACTGAGCTCACTGTTCCTGACCCCCACGCTCAACTCAGGGTAGGGCATGTACAGTGGTATGGAATGCTGTCCAGTCCTGCAACATCCCCAGTTTTGGTTGTGATCTGAGCAAAAGTAGATTGCCAGGTCTTTCTTGGTCTTTGATCTTAGTCTTTACACTCCACCGAAACCTGTTTGGCATCACAGCAAGAACCCGGCCTCTGCCGATGGAGACCATGAAACCACCACTGGCTCTCCCACCTCCAGAAAGGGGCTGCCACTCACTGTTGTTAATTACCGTCAAGTTGGTTCCAACTCATAGTAACCCTGTATTGGATTTCCAAAGGGGGCTGGTGGGTTTGAACCACCAACCTTATGGTTGGCAGTCCAGTGCTTATTCTACAGCACCCTATCATTACTCCAGAAATGTTCAAGATGGCTAATAAATTAGGAGGGTCAGTATAAGCCACTCAATTTAATAAGCACAAATGCTAGAGACATGAGTTGTCTAAACAGTCATTTCAAAGAGCATCATTTGTTAAAAAACAAAACTATCATCCTTCCAATTCAAGCTGTTAACAAAGGTTAGCAAACACAGAAACTAATATGAGTATCTTTTCATTCATCCACTAACTACTTGTGACTACTCTTACCAATGGGGTAAGACTGGTGACCATCTTGGTGATAAGTAGCAAATGCATTAACCAGAGGGCTAGTTTAAAACCTCAGTTCAAATCAAATATTAACTATGGAAAGCAAACCCAGACCTCCTATTGTACAAAGAGAAACCAATTAAGACACTCTCAGTATCTCTCATTCCAAAACCTTGCCTTTCCTCAAGGGTAAGAGGTCAAGTATTTTACGTGATTCTACTATTCTTGGAGTCTTGGTGTGGCATTGTAGGATAAGCACTGGACCTCAAGGTCAGTTTGAACTGCAAGGCTGGTGGTTTAAACTCACCATTGCTCCTCAGAAACCCTATATAGGTCAGAACCGGCTCCACAGCACATAACTATAACACTACCCTTAATCAAAGCATTTAAAAGAGCTGACCTTACAGTCTCCTTTTCCTTTGTTTGGATCACTGGATTCTTGTACAGCTTTCTTAGGCCATATACGGCTAACAAAAGGGGAGATTAGAGGGTATATGTACGGCTCCAGGAACTTTTTGTAGACCCAGAGCAGAACTGGAATGACAATACACGGAATACACACCATCGTCCCAGGCTTGAGTTCCTACACTGTTAAAATACATAAAGAAAAAACAAATTAGTTAATCAGAAATTAATGACTGAAGGAGATGACCTAGGTTAAGATATTTAAAAGGAATAAATAAATGAAAGAACTGTTATTATGGAAGGAAAGACTTCAGTGTACTTTTAGTTAAAAACAGGTGTGTATTAAATAAAAATTCTGCTATCTGCAAGGTCAGAAAATAAGCAATGGACTACTAACCACAAGGCTGGTGGTTCTAACCCATCAGTCGCTCTTCAGAAATCCTATGTTTTTGCTGTTGTTATAGTCGCTACGAGAACGAACCGACTTGATGGCATTAACAACAACAAAAGGCAGAATGTTAAACCCTTTACATATACCAACTCAGTATATATATGTAAAGGATATAATCAAAAAAACCAATGATGCCATTGCTAGTTCCTTTTATAGATTCAGAAATGGAGACACAAACACCTTAAAGAGCTTGGCAGTAGGACACAAACTGCAGTTTCATGTTAATTCACTGGTAGGCCTAATCACCTTTGTTGTTGTTGTTGTTGTTATGTGCCATGGAGTCGGTTCCAACTCATAGCGACCCTGTACAGGGTTTCTGAGGAGTGGCTGGTGAGCTTGAACCACAGACCTTGAGGTCAGTAGGAGTCAGAACCTGCTAGAAGGCACTTAACAACGGTTTCCTTGAAGGAGCCAAGCAGAAGTGCTTGACAGCGAACTGAAAGATCAGGTGGAAACCAGCAGCCACTCCTCAGGAGAAAGATGCAGCAGTCAGTTTCTGTAAAGGATACAGCCTTGGACCCTGGCAGGCAGTTCTATTCTGTCCTAGAAGGTACTTAGGCGTTGGTTTGGTTTGTTTAATTTCCTTGATAGTTTAAAAATCATCTTGGAATTCCTCAAAATCATCAGTGTCCTTGAAAAATAATCAATACCATTATTATACCATAAGATACCATTAAACCTAAAGACTGCTTCAATTTAGAAGAAATTTCAAGCCCTTAGAACAGGATACAGGACCTCAAAAACTAAGAAGTTTCAGTAGAGTGCATAAGACATTAAATTCAGGATGTTAAAATTTCTTACTTTCAAAGTATTATAAACTTGTGTTTGGGGCAAAAGAGTCAGCACTAAGTCTACACATCAGGTGTCATTGAGCTGGTTCCGAATCAGAGCAACTCTATGCACTACTGAAGTGTGGCATTGAAGAATGAGCACTGGACTGCTAACTGCAAGGTCAGTGGTTCAAACCTACCAGTTTCTCCTTGGAAACCCTATACAGGGTCACTATGAGTTAGAACTGACTCTACGGAACTTTATAACAATCATATAACAATTTTAGAATCTACTAAAATAATTTCTTGTAGCATTTTCACGGACAAATTCTTTGATTAAAATAAGCCAAACTGAGTTTTAATGAAGGTATCATTATTTCTTAGTAAAGACATTTAAGAATTTGAGTTGAAGAGACATTTAAGAGGTGACATGATTTAGGTTCTACACCCTTTTATAGCACCCCTGAAGTCCTGGTGTGGCGCTGTGGGTTAATACGCTAGACTGCAAAGTCAGTGGTTCAGGCTCACTAGCCGCTCCTGGGAACCCTATGCAGGGTCACTATGGGTGGGAATTGACTTGACGGCACTTAGTAACAAAACAAAAACAGCACCCGAGTTCCTAAATGATACAAATGGTTAAGTGCTAGACTATTAACTCAAAGATTGGCGGTCCAAATCTACCGATGTGCTTCAGAGGTAAGGCCTGGAGATCTGATTCCAAAAGGCTACAACCATTGAAAACCTTATCAAGTAAAGTTCCTGGGTGGCACAAACAGTTTGTACTTGGCTGGTATCTGAAAAGTTGGCAATTCAAACCAACCAGTAGCACTGAGGAAGAAACAGGGCTGGTGATCTCCATAAAGACTGTTGTTGTTTGTTGTATGCCAAGGAGTTGGTTCATACTCAGACCCTAATGAAGGTTTCTGAGAGCAGCTGGCAGTCCAGTGCTTATCCTACAGCACCACACCAGGGCCAAGAAAACTCTAAGGAGCAGTTCTACTTACTTTGTAACACACAGGGTCTCTTAAGTCACAAATCACCAACAAAAAAAAAATCAAAACCCTGTACTATCCCCTCCAAGACTGAAACTGAAAAGGGAACACATGAGCAGGCATGCAAGATTGCTGATGACCACACTGGTCTACTGGTGAGTGGAAGAGGGGGAAAGGCACCAATGAACAAATAGGCTAAGTTCAACCACGTTCAACAGACTCCCTTTGACCTGGATATGAGAGAGAATTGGAAGAGCTGGTTGGTCCGAAAATGTGGTGAGACCTAGGGACTCCTGAACCCATGGAGACAAGGACATAGCCACAGAAGGCTAGAGCTGAGAGTGAAGTATCCAGCTGATATGAAGTGAGGGGAGACGCATAAGAACATCCAAACTAGCAGATAGTACCCGTTTGACCTAGCCTTGATGGCTTGATAATCAGAACTTGACTAGAGAAAGAGAAAAAAAATAATAAATTTTTTTTGGATAAAGGAAACAAGGGTAAATTACTATAATTTGATGAACCTGACCTATACTAATGGATGCAGATGCTCAAAATACCAACAGAGAGGGAAGGAGTCTTCACATCAAGTAACAATCCTATCCCTTTCTGTAAATAAGGTAGATAGGGATGGGCAACTTAGACATTGGCTACCAAAATTGGGGACGATAAGGGCACAAAGTGACTGGCTTACAAGGTTTCAAGAGGGAGTTTAGCTTAAGAGTGTGTGGGGGAAGATAAGAGTCCCCACTGAACAGTTTTCATCTTGTCTAGATGGGTCTGGTAAAAAGATATGTGAAGATTCTTATGATTCAATAGAGAGTAAATGTTATCATCACTAATTACAACGGTCACAACTGTAAAGGTAGAGTACAGGGGAGTAGTTAATCTTACAGTCCAGAAACAGAGGACCCTAAGACCATTAAGGGAGAAGAGCACAAGCAGAATGTGGGACCCTACCCAGAGAAGCATCAACACAAGAGATGGACGCAGAAATGAGGGCATGGAGAGAAAGAGTGGCTGAGGACTCTGGACTCATGGAAAGAGGGTCTGGGTGCTGGTGGCCAGGAAGTAGGCTTGTAGAATATGCCCTTTGGTTTCGTTGCTTAAATTATGCCAGAGTGTTTTTGTGTGTACACTCCCCCTTCCCCCCTCCCCCCCATCAAAAACAAAAACATAAACAGAAGGAACGGAAGCAAATACTGTTGAATGATGATGCACAGAGGAGATTGTAATCATTGCAATGAAATGATGGTGAAAAGTCGATGTTCTCCCATGTAAACTATCACTCAGTTTACAATAAAAACTTAAAAAACAAACACCAAAAAACCCCTATACTAGTTCTACTCTGTACACATGGGGTCATCAGGAGCCAGAAGCCACTCCTTATTAGAGCAGGCACTGTAGCAGAGTCAAGGCACAGACTTTTGGCTGGTGCCAGCTGCCTGGGCTTTGAAGCCTGCCTTCATCACTTTTTAGATGGTGTTTTGGTGCAAATGATTTAACCAGTCCGTACCTTCATTCCCTCATGTTTAAAATGAGAATGATAGTACCTATCTCACAGGGATGTAGTGAGGACTAACGCCCAACTCACATTGATGGGTAGAGTAGAACTGCCAGGAGGTTTTCAAGGCTGTAATCTTTACAGAAGGAGCTCTGGTAGCGTAGTGGTTACGAATCGGGCTGTGAACCTCAGGGTCAGCAGTTCGAAACTACCAGCGGTTCCACGGGAGAAAGATGAGGCTTTCTGCTCCCGTAAAGATTTACAGCCTCGGAAACCCTGTACAGGGTCACTCACTATGAGTCAGAACCGACTCCACAGTACTTAACAAGAACAATCTTTACAGAAGCACACTGCCACATCTTCTGCCCTAATACAGGTAGGTGCCATCTGCCGACCTTACAGTTAGCTGCAGAGCATTTAATCACTGCACGCCCAGAGTTCCTTGCAATGAGGGTTAGATTAAAAAAATACTAATACAAAACTCAGAAGTTCTGTATATAGTAAATGCTCTTGAAGGCCTGAAGAGCTACCTTCGGGAAAATCAGCTAATGAAAACCTTATGCGTTATTACAGTCTGACTTCAGCTGTGCACTGGGTTGGGGTTGAGCCATGAACGTCAACCACAACTAACAGTAAGTGATAAAAGGAAATATGTAAATCATAAAAAGGAGCAGCGTGGGGAGGGGAGGGAAGGTTCAAAGTTATAACTATCCAAGGCTTACACTGTAACTAGCCAACTAGAGCTGCCTACTAGATTTCCCATTTCTGGTTTTCTAGCTCAAGGTTCTTTACTGTTATCTCTCCCAAAACTACAAGTATGTTATTTATTTCCTTCCTAACAGATCTTTAAAGGGAACAAGAGCCCTTCAAGACAACTGGTGATGCGAAGTGGGGGCGCACTTGGGTCCGGTGGTGACTGACAATCCCTCTACTGTAAAACATTTTCCCTTTGTAATTTGAACTGTTTGAAATAAGCTCGAATACACTGTGTATTCTCAAGGGTAAATAGTAATTATGCCATAATTGGAGTTTTTACACAACTTCAGAACTCTGCTGAAGGAAGCTACTTGTGCCTTTATTTATCCTCATTATGACTGTCCAATGCTATCTTACTGCAGGAAAGTCAGAATGTGGCTTAGAGGGCTGGAGGTGGTTAGGCGAAATTCCTTATCCGCTCACTACTTGTACAAGCCAATTCTCGGATGTTACAACAAAGCAAGCACCATCGTTGATGCTCTGTTGAAGGCTGGGGGTTTTCTTTTCATTCGACTTCATCTAAAGCAACACTGGACTAGAGCGGAAGACTGACGCCCTATCAGAAATGGAAACGATGCGGGAGACGAAATCCACATCCGTGTAAGCAACCAAGTTCAGCTAAGCACAGCACTTTGCTGGCGACAAAAGGGGCGCAGGGTCAGGTGAGAAAACAAGTTAAAGGGGAAG